TTTCAAACGATAGACAAACTCCATTAACCAAATAAAAATACACAGTTCAAACGGGGAAAGCCTCTACAACCAGTCGAGATGAGCAGGGAGATACATACATAATGTATGATCTAGAAGTCACACATAGGGGAGAACGAGGACAACTATCAAGCTGAGACCTGCGTCAACAAAACCAACACACTAAAAAACACCCAACAACACAAACTAAACCGATAACCACAACCTAACGAACAAACCAACAAGCTAAAGAAACAGAAACGACCAAGGGAAACACCAGCTCAGCCACCATTGACACAAGACCTAGTAGGTTGTACCAGAGTCCCTTGTTCCTTCATTGATGACACCATTTGAACTCCTCTCAATCTCTGATAGTACCTTTCACAACCAACTGCTTTAGCATCCACTCCGTCTGAAAGACCCCCAGGTAGCGTGCTTTCCACAACGACCACAAGATGTATGTTGATAGCTGGATCTTGCTCTCTGTTATGTCTGTGTGAGGAAGAGTGCTGATCCACCACCACCAAGCCTTGAAGTCCCCAGCTCTGCAGTGGTTGAAGTCCTAATAAACAAGCGTTAGCTTCCAAACTCTCTGAGCTCGGCTGCACTTGACAAAAATGTGCTCTTCAATTTCTTCAGCTTCACCACAACCGCTACACCTTACCTCTATCCTCACACCTCTCTTGACCACATTGCAGCTCACAGAGAGAACTCCAGAAACACATCTCCAGATAAAATGTCTTATTTTTGTTTTGAATGTCAAATGCCAACACCTCACTCTGGCCACCTTATTCTCCTTTACTGCACTGTTGTTTTCAGATCTGTCAAGAGTATGGGCTTTTTCAGCAATGAGTTTTGCATAGGAAGCTGCCACATTGAATTTCCCCTTGGTGTCAAAGTCCAGATGAATTTGTTTAGCTGGTCTAGATTCAGAGTATGGATTTTCCATATCCTTCCATCCACCTCCAACAAGTCTTTCACCCACACCACATTCCCTTTCAACTCAGCCTTCAGCCTTCAACCTCAATCTCCCTTCCCCCACCCAGTTATGGTCAGGGATTTTAGTTGTCTCACCATTTCCCACTTCTGCCCTCATCCCATGCTTAAATTGGAGCAACACATTCAACCAGCAGTTCCAAAGCCAAGAAGCATTTGGTTTTTTCTTGCAATCAAGGAGATTAGATTTGGGATAGTACTTTATTCACTAGAAGATCAGGTTTTGTCAAAATTTTTCACAGCTGCTTCAACATTAAAGCTTGGTTGAAGATCCTCACATCTTGGAAACCCAAGCCTCCTAGCTCCTTTGGCAAAGTAAGATCCATCCAAGCTTTCCAGTGTAAACCTCTGCTCATCACCTTTGCTCCACCAAAAATTTGCATAGAGCTTGGAAACCACCTTGCATAAATTTTCAGGAAGCTGAAAGCAAGATATGACAAACATATGTAGTGCATTCAACACTGCCTTTATGAGGACTTCCTTTCCAATAGTTGAAAGGAATTTGTTCTTAATCCTGCAGTTCACAACATTAACAACAAAAGCAAAGGTTTCCTTTTTTTACTTCCCAATTCCTAAAGGTAAACCCAGGTACCTAGAGTATTTATGCACAGAAATGCCTCTCAAAATCTCACACACCTTCCCTTAGACTCCACTAGAAGCATTTATACTGTAAAAGACTGAGTACTTCCCTAAATTTACCCTCTGCCCAATGAACAACTGATGATTTTCAAGTATCTAAGTGATCATATAATCTTGGCTCTCATCAGCCTTACAGAACAAGAGAGAATCATCAGCAAAAAGCAAATGTGTGAGCAAATGTCCCCCACTAGCTAAGCTCATACCTCTACCTAACCCGACCTCAACCTGAATAGAAGATGACAACACTTCAGACACCAATAAGAACATGTAAGGAGATAAAGGGTCTCCTTGCCTCAAATCCCTAGAAGGTTTAACCATGCCAAACACATTGCCATTGATTTAGAGGAGAAAGCATAAGAGGAAATACAAACAAGAACACATCTCACAAACCTAGGGTGAAACTCCATTTTAAACATAATGTCTGTAAGGCCCCTCTACTTATCTTTGGAAAAGTACTGATTTTTTTTCAAGAATAATTTCGAACTTTTTAGAAAATATTTTTTAACTTTCTTAGGGCACCTTACTTCTACTTCTTTTAAACTTGTTGAATCTGACTTGCTTTTAACTTTACTTAAGTCTTGCACTCAAGTTCTTATGAGAACTCTTTTCCAAACTACTAACTCGATTTTTCATCTCATACTTAAAGCATACTCTCATGCAATAAAATTGAAAGTGTCAAAATATTCAAACATAGTTTCAAACACATGTCAAACGTTTGAAAACAACAAGTTCTGAAAAGTTCATAGCGGAAGCATAAAAATTAATAAACATAAATTGACCACCATCGTCTTTTTGTATCCGCCGCCAGCTGCTCAACCTGGAAAATGGTAATTGTGGGGGGTGAACAAAACAACTAGCTCACCGTGGGAACCATATTATACGATTATTAAGTATAAAAACAGATATCATATTTTAAGCATGGAACATGTAAAATTGATCTCATTTGGTTGCCCTCCACAGGAATCGCCCTTCGCAAACGTAATACATCTGATTGCCCTTCACAGGCATCACCCTTCACAGGCGAAATGTAACTGATTTGCCCTTCACGGGCCGAGCACTCACATCACCCATCGCGAGCGACATGTAACACATTGCATACATAAAATAGAATATCTCGCGTTTATGAAGAATGCGGCAAAGTATAGGAACACCCCACCTCGAATGCATATAATGATGAATGAATGCTCGTGATTGTTTTGAGGGCCCGACTAGTGATTTTTGGATTCGGGTTAGGTTTTACCCGGTGAGTTAGTGTGTTTTTGTCGGGTAAGCGGGTAACCCGATTTCTTAAATTTGGGCTTTACCCGGTCCCAACTCGACCCAACCCGCTTCATGTGAAAAAAAAAATAGAATAATTTTATAATTAATTATAAGGTAACAACCAATTTATTAACTAAGTATGACAATAAAAAACTATAAAAAAATATTATTTTTGGAATAAATAATGAGATATAATTATTCATCTTTTATAATCTAGCTAATAATATAACATTTAAAAATTATGTATTTAAATTTTTATTGTACAATATAAAAAAAATCATAAAAAATAAAATAAAATTTAACCATTAACCAAAATCCTAATAAATAGTCTAATTTTTAATATTAATAAAACATGAGTACGTTTAAATTTATAATAAGCTATATACATAAGATTCAATGTTTACGGGTAAACAAGTAGGCTAATCGGGTCAGGTAACGGGTTTTCCTACTATACCCGCACCAGACCCGACCCTAGAATTCGAGTAGCATAATTCTACCCGAACCCAACCCGAAAATGCAGGTAAAACCCGCCCTTGCGAGTTGTATTGACATATATAATTATGGATAAGGAATGGGTAAAAAATGATAATTTCATTTGAATGTCATTCCCTCGCAAAAGGGCTTGAACATGAGCTCTTGGTAGACATGGCCAGTCAACGGGCCCGGCCCGCCGAGCCGACGGTCCACAAAAGCCTGGCTCGGGACCGAACCGGAGATTGCTTAGGGCCGGGTAATCGGACCGGCCCGGTCCCGTCGGTTCTCCGGCCCGCCGTTTATTAAAAAAAATGAACTGTTACCGGGCCTCTGGCCTGCGGCCCGGACCGGATCGCCGGGACAAAAAGAAGAAATAGGTCAACCGGGACCAAACCGCGGCCCTTGCGGTCCGGTTAGACGAACCAACCCTTACGTGGCCGGTTCAGGGCCGGTTCGGGCCGGTCCAGAGTAGTTTCGATCCGGGTCCGGCCCGTCGCCATGTCTAGCTCTTGAATAGTATAGAACCCCAATTTAACGGACCACTTCTAAAATTTTGACTTTTTATGAAGGCGAACAACCAACATAAGCTTTTTATTAAAGAAATTAAGAATTGAGATGATGCTAGTATGCTACAATACAATATCAATAAAAAAAATAGTAAAAGTAAAAAAATACCAAATAAAAAATGACTAGATGCAAGGCAGCCCACAACTTGTGAATTGTTAAAAAGATTGACTTATTTCTCCCAACCGATCATCATTCTCTCCTCCATTGTTGACTTTCCCTCCCTCTCTATTTTTCCTCCTCACTCTCTCTCTACATAAAAATCAAAGACCCAATCGGCTGACCACACGGTCCACGCCACTTTCTCCGATCTTTCATCTCCTCATCTACCTCAGCCGCTTTTCATAAATGCCCTTTCCTTTTCTGCCGAACCTTCTGAAACATCACCCAATCGAGTGATTAGTCACAAAACAATTAATTCCCATGGATGGATCGCCCTACTCTTCCTCTTCCTCCGACACCTCGTCGCCGTTCTCCTCGTCCAGCTCGTCGCCGGCGAAGCCCGCCTCCTCTCCGGCGGTCCTCTCCATCGAGTGCCTGAAAGGCAGCTCGCGCGGCGGCGAGTGGTCCGGCGACATGCTCCAGACCGGTGACGTGGTGGAGGAGCTGCGGATCGGGAACGTGGTCATGAAATCGCCCTTCAGAAACGGCAAATCGGGGGTCCAAAAGATCCTCCACGGCTCGTACAAGAACAAGGAGACGTCGATCCGGGTCCGGGTCAGGCGGGGCTCCGACGAATTTGCGGAGCTCCAGGCGTGCATCGTGCCAGGGGACCAGTTCCTCGGCCGGAAGCAGTATGTACTGCGGGCGATTGACGACCCGAATTACGCCGTCGGGTTCGTGGACCGGACGGAGGCCGAGTGCTTCAAGTTGCAAGGTAACCGATTTCATCTTTTTGTTTTCTTTTTTTGCTGGTCTTTCCTTGTGTTTTTTCCTTTAATTTGTAGCCGACAAATTACGCGTACGTAGGCCAAATCTGCACTATTTGAATTCATTTTTACTTTTTAAAGTGAAATTCGGATTGAGCATTTGATAATATTTTCCTTATATTTGTAGCCGACAAATTACGGCGTATGTAGGCCAAATCTGCACTATTTGAATTCGTTTTTACTTTTTTAAAGTGAAATTCGGATTGAGCATCTGATTTTATCAATATATAGTTTTTTTGTTCTGTAAAAAGATATAATATAGGCAAAAGGATGACTTATTACTTATTAGTCATTTTGGCACAAGAAATGACCGAAGAGTGCCAATTTGTCCATAGAGTTTTGCTGCCTCCTAATTTATTTGTTTATTTTTTTTTTAAATTAGGAAATATAAAAATAGTACCTGATGTAATAGAACAAAGAAATAGAACAAGATTGTAATACGAAATAATATAAAAATAGTAAGAAATCAATAGTAATCGTTATTTAAACAATTTTTTATTTAGTTAAAGTAATTTTTTATTTAGTTAATTATTAATTACTAGTTGAGCCAAGTGCAACCCTATAAATACAGAAATGATTTCTAATTCTTTAAAAAGATATCTTCAATTTCATAATTTTTTTTATGGAATTCCATTTTAGAACACATAAACAATTCCTTGAATTTTATAACCAGTTTTTCAGATTCTACGGCAATAAGAGTAAATGTGTTATCTCACCAGTGAAAATGACTATTATCCATGCTTCCAAGTGATTATATATATTTCTTCTTTCTTTGTTAGGTGGCTATAAAACTTGCTTTTTCATATTGGGGGCTTAAATTTGATTGGGCAACGCGCATGTTTCTAATTGGTTTTCTGCTTTCAGTTACGACTCTAATAGCAACGTTGTTCCAAAAAGAACATGAATTTTTTTTTTGTTGGGAAAGAAATTTGTCTGACTTCAAACCATCGACAGCTCAAAATTTTGACAACATTGTTTGACAAGATCACGTGTTCATATTACTGACAGACCAAAAAAGCAAACGCAACCCATCATTAACATTCATTGTTCGATTTTCCACGGCTGTGGAGTCCAATTTTCATTATGGTCGGCGAGCCAAAACACTTGGATTTAATTCCATTCTTTTGTTTCTTCAACAAAAGAAAAAGCCCAAAGCCAATATAGGGGAAACGGCCTACCAGTCAGCATAACCTGGAAAAAATAATGTAAGGTGTAAACCAACCCAAAAGCCAACAGGGGCAACATTGATTAGTGCTGGCACATAACTTTGACTGATAATTTGTGTTAATCCTGTAAGATATAATATTTTGAACCGACTTCTGTAGATAGTGCACCAATTGGGTCCTGTTCATTTTGCTGCACCTTTGGATGTCAATTTCTGGTAGGCCCTTTTCCACTTTGAAAGAAAAGATGAAATAATGATTGTATTGATTTGTTTTTTCTTTTCCGAAGCAGCTTCTAGAAGCATACGAATGGTGAGTGCACTGGAGAGGGCTCCACTCCAGGATGGGTACGTCTCATACCCATGGGAGCGTAAGATGCACGAGATGCTTGCCATTCCCAGCTCAAGCAGCTTCTACTCCGTCCTCTTCTTGCCCAAGTCCTCCGACAAGGCCGGGACACGCTATAACGACCTCGAGGACACACTTGCGCGGGCCCACGCTTGGATCAACGCCTCCCAGGAATCGGGAGCACCTGTAGTCTTCATGAGCGTTCAGACAGAATCTCTGCTTACCAAGGTTAGTTAAATCAACCAAATTCTTAATTCTTAGGGAGTGTATTCAATTGAGATTTCAAGTGACATTTTGAGACTTTTTAAGATTTGGAGGAATTCTGTGAAATTTTCTTAAGTCTGGAGATGGGATTTAAAGTGGGATTTCGTATACGGTTTTTTTTTTTCTTTAAAAATTCCACCAAAATCTGAAAAAGTCTTAACAAATCCTAGTCAAACAAGTTTAAATACCTCAGGATTTTGTAAAACTTTTTTAAAATTTTAATTGAATACCCCAAGACTTTTAAAAGCCGTAACAAATCTAATCTAATTGAATACACCAGAATTTCAAAAGTCTTAAAAAGTCTTTATGTTCTCATAGATATCCGGCGAAACGGCCTCGTCCACGGTTAACGCAGGCTCATTGGCCGACTTGTCCAACATCGCAAACACGAGCTTGTACGGTTTCGAAGACTACCACGGTGTCGACATTGGAGTCGTGAGAGCTGTTCGCCTCTGGTTCTCGCCTCTCGCGGGCGAGATCCCCGTCCACATCACCATCAAAGACTCTGACACAAAACTCGGCTTCGCAATCAGCCGAACGGCAGAGGTACCCTTTTTTTTCGAAAATGCAGAAAAAAATAAAAAAAAAATTAAATTCTAAAGTACATTTTCACGAAAACAGGGATTCATCTACATATCGTCTGTCACGCGAGGGGACGTGGACGGGCCATCAGCCCGTTCGGGCCTGAGCCACCTGCACGAGCAGGCAGTTCGAAGCTCGCGCCTGCTGATAGTGTCCCGGATATCGAACCAGAAGGTGCTCCCGTGGATGGTCTCCACAGCTGGCGCAATCAGGTGTTTCGACACAGTCTCCCTCAGCCAGAAACTTTCATTGCACCGCCACACGCGGGTCCCAGTCGTCCTCCACGTTTTCCTCTGGGATAGGAACGTGAGCCTCGCGGCAGATGCTGACCGCGGGCTTGGAGCCCGGCCCACTTCTGCAGGCCCGTGTTTTTCAAGGGATGATGTTGGTTTGGGGACAGATACGAATGGGAGTCTGGAGAGTCGGGAGATGGAGGGGGACTCGTCGGTCGAGAGTCGGGAGAGTGATAGTGGAGTGGAGCTTAGGTTAGATAGGGACACGGCTGGGGAGTTTTCCTTCCGTTTTCGTGATTTTGCCATTAAGAATAACTGGGTGTGATTTAGTTAAATTTTTTTTTTATTTTTTTATTTTTTCTGGGTTGTTTAGGGGGTATTGATGATTTTGTATTGGTATTTTTCAATGTGTATATCCGTATATGAGAGGGAGTTGTGGTAGGTGTGCTGTTTTTGTTGAATACAACAGAAGTAGTTGTGGTTTTGTTTGGGTCTTGACTCTTGTTGCATTTGTTCAAATTGTGACTTTTATGAGGGTCTAATAATAATTTAGTTTTTACAAGCAAGCTCATTCTCTTTTATGGAGATGTGCTTTATCACTATTCCAAATATCCAGGTCTGGCCGACTGAGCTTTTAGGTGATCGACCTGTGCTTTGACCAAGGTGTTTAGCTCATTGGCTTTCACTTCAATTAGCTCTACCTCAACAACCACACCTAAATCTGTCTCGCTTTGGTAACCCGGTTACCTTCGAGATAGAAAACCAGTCTGGCCGAGCTAGCATAACTCTGACTATATCATCTAGTCTTCCCTCCAAGTCCTACTCCAAGTGAGCTCATGTTGTACTTAGCTTGAAGTAAGGTTTGTACAGTGGCAGATGTGAATAGGGGCCACGTGCCTCTGTACCATTAAAAATAAAAAGTACTTATATTATGTAGAAATAGAAAAAAAAATAATATTTCTTCTATACAAATTTATGCCTATGTTATTTATTTGGAATAATGATTTTAGTAGTCCATTTATTTTTCTCTAAACTTCAACAATTATAGTAGAGTTTTATTTTTAAAAAATAACTACTCCATGTAAAAAAAAAAAAAAAAATCAAAAAATAATCTTTTCACAATCATGTCTTGAAAAAAACCTAAATATTAATATTCCTTAATCTCATCTTGAACCCGACTATGATTTCTATTTATCCGTTTTGCATTAAGGGATTTTATGAATTGGTGCGACACCACTTTAGAGCTTTCATAATTTTGATAAAAAGTCATGACCCTGATTAAGATATCTAGCTTTGTTTTAGATTTGATGCATACTTTATTTAGGTGTTTTCAATTTTTAGTCAAAACATTTTAAACAAGCAATCAATATTTACTTATTGATTACTAATTAATATGACTTTTATGTATTCATTGTGAAAAACATTATACATAGAAGCCCACATATAGACGATAAATGATATAAGATAATAATAATTATAATTTTGATGTTCGAGAAAGGTTAATTTGATGATATTGAAAATAATGTAATTATTAAGTGATGCAAAATATAAAAATATATAGAGAACGATTTTAAAATAATATTATTTTATTTTTTTGGCATTTCGTAAAAGTTACATTGTCCCCATCAACTTTGCAAGTTTATGTCTGCCTTTGGGTTTGTAGACATGACGTCTTCAGGCCATGTTAATTGTTAGAGGCATTTATTGTACCGATTTGAAGGGTTTGCCTAGGTATTGAAATAGCTGCCTCGACTGACGTGTCCCCTTGAGTTGCAGGTACAATTCAGACCGTTCATATTTTCATCACCTAACGACTGATTTTAATGGTGCTTTATATAAATATATCCCTTCTTAGTGGTCAAACACTGCCATCTTTTTGTTTTTGTTTAAAGCACTTTCAGGCCTTTGTCGTTCCTACGAATTTTTTGTCAAAAATATTTTTGACGACTTTCGTGTCGTTCAACCGACATCAAACAGTGTTATGGGTAAGTATGTAATTTAGTTGTATTACATCGTTGTATTTGCTTTTTCTCTTTTCATGTTCTTTGATTCTGGGTGTTGTTCGTGTTATTCTTCTTTTCGTTCATTTTTTTTCTGTGTTATTTTCAAGACGAATTGTTGATTGAATCTTGTGTTTTTATAATTCTTTATCTTATATCGAACTGAATTTTAGATATGTCTTATTCGTACACGAACAATTCACTCGACCAGCTGATTGACGAATACATGAGTCGTCCACGGTAGATATCATAAGTCACGAAGTAGCTCTTACCGAGCGAAATGGTCCTTCTGGAGGACTAATTAAAGAACTTGATGGTGATGTAGATTGTGTTGGGTTTTATAAAGAACGTCGATCGATGTGCATAAATGAATTCCTAAGAATTTAGTCCTAGCGTAGAGGATTTGGAGTTAGGATTTAGAACTTACGATTTAAAATTTATCGCAGAATTTGTACAGACTTACTTGGTCTACGGGACCAGACGAACAGGGCACCTCCTGACCTTTTGTTGTATGACCAGTCACCGCCTGGTTGGTCTTCTTGGGCGACTCACTCTCAGTTCTTTCTTAAACTCACACCGATCGGATCTTGAGGAAAAAGGAAGGAGTTCTTGTGTTTTGGAAATACTATCTCATTATCTTTTACTTAGACCCTCACTTTTTTTTCTATCTATTTTTCTCTCGACGATCGATTTTCTCATGGATATTACGCATGTGTTGTGCGTGAGTTATGAGGGACTTCATGTATTTATAGGGTATAACATGAACCAAAATGATGTGTTAAATAAGGACCCCATGTGATAAGGAAACTGTAGGTTCTAGTCCACCTGCACCTAAACCACATTAATAATATTTCATTCCATTAAATAAATATTATTGAACTTTCAATTTAACCCCAAATTATATTTACTTTGTCTCCAGTTTTATTTACTCGATTTATCTCCACATGTTTAAGATCTAACATCTGTTGGTTAATTTAATTACTGCTAATATATAATCAACTTCTTGATCCGAAATTAGTACCACTCAATTCTTTATTATTATGACGAAATTCAATCCGCTGTAGGGCTTGACATAGTAATCTTTCTCGGGCTTATTTTTGGGACGTCATCAACTCGACTCACCGAAACACAGTGGTCGTAAATAACTTCAATGACACATCTTGCAATCGGAATTATTTATCAACAAACCGAAGTATCAATTTTCAATAAATCTCACACTTTGACAAATTAAATAAATAATAATCGATTACATATTTTCATTTATTATATTAGGGGTTAAGAGAACGCAAAAATAACTAAGGTCTACATTATTTACTTGGTTGGTATAGAATAATATTATCCTCCGAGGTTCGTCCAGTACATTACAAATATACTGGTGTAATTCATTAGTCAAATATCAACTAATTCCAAAATCTCACTACAATTAATGGGGAAATTCCATTAGAAGGCCCAACTTTTTGATATTGTATCAATTTAAGGCTTGAATTTTATTCTTTTTCAATAGAAGACCTATATTTTAGGTTATTCTCAATTTAAGGCTCACTTTTTAGTTAACTTTCCATTGTAAGGCCCAATTAACTTTATATTTTGATATAAATATGTGAACCAATTAACTTTATTTTATAATATAGTTATGTGAACAAAAATAATTTTTTATTTAGTTTATATTTTACATACTTATAATAAATATCTTTAGTAATGTTTACTTAATAATATAGCGAAACTATATAAATTATATTTATGCAAAAGTTTAATCATGAATAATTTAAAAAAATGATAAGTGGATTAAAAAAATATGTAATGGAAATATTATTTTTATTAATAATATAAATATGTAATAAAACTAAAAAATAATATATAAATGCAATCTACAAAAAAATATATCATTTTCAACAAGTAATGACATAGTATCAACTTTTGCTTCCAAAAAGAAAAGTTAAAATCATTTTATTAATATAATTCTACTAGAGATATTTATTATTTTTTATTATAAGTATGCAAAATATAAATTACAAAATAACAATAATAATAATAATTTTATTCACATAATAGTTGTTTTACATATTTATATGAAAAGGTAAAGTTAGTTGGGCCTTATAATGGAAAGCTAACTAAAATGTAAACCTTAAATTGAGAATAACATAAAATATAAGTCTTCTATTGAAAAAGTACAAAATTCAGGCCTTAGATTAATACAATTACTAAAAGTTAGGTCTTCCAATAAAATTTTCCCTACAATTAATCACGACAATTAATTTAATTTTGTCTAGGTTGTGAGCCAATAATTTATATTTTACAAGGCACATATAATATGATCTTTCTGTTCGACACATCGAACCATATTATTGCAATGTAAAATAAAGAAACCATGTTCGAATAAATAAATAAACTGCAAACACACACTTGACCAAACACATGAATCACATTCAAAATGGAATTGCTCGTTCACAAAGTCGAACTTCTACAATATAACTAACAACTTCCCACTTATACTTTAAAGCATTTGGCTAACATAAGTATACATTATTTCAATTTAATTCTCAAAGATATGTAGAACTAATCGCCATACATCTGACTCAAATCTCATCTACGTGTCTGTTAAAGACTTTCACTGGTAGCCTCTTTGTAAAAGGATATGTCAAGTTGTCTTCCTATGCATTCTTGGTAACAACAACTTCTCCACTTTCTACAATGTCTAGTACCACGGTGCTACTTGTGCTCTATGTGTTTACTCGCCTTATGAGCTCGAGACTCCATTGAATTTGCCACGGGCAAACTGTTGGGGCTCAGTTAGGAACGTCGAAATTATGTAAGTCCCGGACTATCTACGAATTAAACCCTAAGCGTAACGGAATTAGAAACTAGAGTTCAACATGTACTGTTTGAAATTTTTGGACTCTGAGACGTTTCTGATTTCTGTTGATAGAGATTTTCTGAACCTCTCGTCAGTGTTCGTCCCATCAAGATTGCCTCGACACGCCTCCCGATGTCCAAGCCGTGCCTCACATCGTCTTGGGCTTCGCAACATGGTCACTGGCAGTTTGGCTTCGCCGGAGGGTCGTCAGAATGTCGTTGGACTGCTTGTCACTGGACCTTGCTGGTGGCTGCTGAGCCTCTCTATTTATAAACAATGTGCATCATTTGAAACAATCTATTTATAAAATTAACAAATATACAAATATTATTTCATTTATAAGCATTTAAATGTTGATCATATAAAAGAACTTGTGAAATTTTTTATTTAAGGTTTATATGTAGTTTAATTATATACAAACTAAACTGAAATCGTAGAATTGAACCAAACAATCAATATATACACTTGTGGGTAATTTGGTACACAAACTAAACTGACCACTTGTAATTGAAATTT